CAGTGGGAGTGGGGATGCTAGTGGCCACGTGAGGGCTGACAGTCTCCCGAGCAGGCTGGCACATAGGAGAGATGGCCGTGGCCCCTCCAGGGCCGATGGGCAGAGCTGGGTCAGGGGTGGGATTAGCCCAAGGGTTCTGCCCTTAGCTGGGTCTGTTCTTCCTCCATCAATTCCCATGAAATGTACTTTTGATCCTTGGGCCTGTCTGGGGAAGATAGGCGTGTGCACCTTTGGGGACAGGTGAAGTTTCCAGAAGGGATGAGGAGAGTGGGCACAGGCTTGAATGCTTGGGCGCAGCCAGGGTCACACTGCGCATCCCCTCTACCTCAGTTTCTCACAAGTCTGTGGCTGTCCCTCGCACCCACCAATGCCTTTTAGGGACCTTGGCCGTGCAAGGCAGGCTGTAGGAGAGGCCCAACTACAAACCTGTGAGGCATATACTATGCTTCACAACAGCCCCCTGTTTAGCCATTAAGTTAGAGAGGCCCAACCAGCAGCCAGACTGCTGTATCCCCAGAACTGCCATGGTACTAAGATTCACCATAAACCAAGGGACATGAGCTCAAGTGGAAAGATAAAAACACTCCTTCCAGGTAGGGACACACCACACACACACTCACACTTCATCAAGGGCCCCATAATACACTGCCAAAATGAAGCCCCATATACTCAGATTCGAAAAACAAATCCCCTTAGCTGCCTGGCTTCATGCTTAAAAGCAGAATAAGCAATGCTTGCTGCATTACTTTTAATAGTGTAGGTTGTCATGGCAACTAGTGCTGCAGCTACTGTTTAAAATTGAAGGAGAAAAAAAAATGTTTCTTCCTACACAAACCTTTCAAGAGGGCTCACAATTAGTCTTAAAAAAAAAAAAGACATGAAAGCTTCTAGCTTTGGGGATACAGTAAACACTGCGCTTAGCTCTAAACCCGCCAGTACAGGGCTGCGAGAAGCTGCAGGATGGCACCTCCTCACCTGGGACCTGGCTCAACAGGTGCCCTGAAGAAATGAAGACCTGATGTGTGCAGGCACCACATGGTCAGGCTCAAGGTGGGACAGTAGCCCCATGTCATGAGTAGGCGGGCAGTAGGGTGACTGCACAGGGCTGCCACCACACAGGCCCCTGCCTTGGTGGTCTGAGGCCAGCAGGGAGAAGACACACTGGCTGTGGCAGCAGCAGCAGAGGCACCCTGCTGTGGCCCAGGGCAAGCCATGGAGGGAAGGGAACTGTGCAGTGAGTGCAGACAAGAGGAGGGAAGGAGGGGCTGGGACAGGGCAAACCTGGAGGGTTTTCCACCAGGAAGTGTCAATGGCATAAAGGAGACCACCTGGGAGGAAGACAGACAGGAGCTGCTCTCGGAAGATCAGCCACCAGGCGACCTGGCTGGGTCACATCAGCAGGGCACACACAGCACAGCGTGGCTTTGGGGCTGTGGCACGCCAGCCTGGCCTCAGGCTCTCTTTGCTGCTGTTCCTCTGAGTGAGCCCAGGGTTCCTGCTCCTGAAGGCCTACCACCCTTGCACCTTTGCAAGCCAGATGAGGGTGTCTCTCCCCCTTACTTGTGGGAGATATGGTCCCAGGCCCCCCCATGGATGTTTGAAAACACAGAGAGTACCAAGCCCTGTACTTAACTGTATTTTTTCCTACACACTCTGAGATGTTAGCACAGGGCACCAGAGCTCATGTCCCTTCCTGGCTTATGCCCAGTATCCTTCTGTGCTTTGCTACTCTTGTGCTTTGTGGCTGTTATTATGCTAAATAAGGGTCATTTGAACACAGGCACTGAAATAGACCCTGATACCAAGATAGCTACCAAGGGACTACCAGGCAGGCCATGTATACAGCATGGACATGCTGGGCAAACAGATGATTCATGTCCTCGGTGGTACAGTATGAGTCCATCACACCACTCAGAATAACATTCAACTGAAAACTATGAATTGTTTACTTCTGAAATTTTCCATTTATTATTTTTCAACCAAAATGTGCTTATTACACATACAGGTATTACTGAAGGCAGAAGAAAAGCACCTCAGGATAGCTGATTTCTTAAGTATCTTCTGCTCGCCTGCCTACTCTTGTATATACTATTTGATTCTTCCAGCAGCATACATGACAGCTGCATAGCAGCAGAGGGGTAACAAAGCCAACTCCATTATGGGAGGCAAGGTGAAACAGCGCAGATTGCAGGGGAAAAGAAGGAGAGCCATTGAGAGCCTCTGCATGTCGAGGTGACACGCTCGTCACTGGGCTTAGAAAAGATGGCCTGGTGACAGCATGGGAGATGAGGACGGGAAACTTACTGTGCCACCACGACCAGTGATGACAACAGCCCCCGCAAACATGGCTGGGGCCCACAGGGGGTGACACAGGAAGTTGAAAATCCACTTGCCCTCATGGCAGCACCATTCACACCAGCCAAAATGGGAAGAATCCAATCGTCAATCAATGGATGATGGACAAATTATGATCCATCCACACGGCAGAATGTCAGTGCTCCAACTCATGCAAATTATGTTAAGTGAGCGAAGCCAGATACAGAAGGTCACACATGGGATAATTCTGTTTATGTGAAGTATCCCAAGCTGATAAATCCAGAGGCAGAGAGAGTAGAGCAGCAGTGGGCATAGGACAGAGGGGTGGAAAGGATGCAGGGTGGCAGCCTAGTGGCATGGGCTTTCCTGGTAGGAAAGAAAACATGTGGGAATTAGCCATGATGGTCGCACAACAGTGTGGATGCACTAAATGCGACTCCGTCAGATCCTTTAAGAAACGTAGAAGAATTTTATTTCAATTAATAAAACAAATCCAAATGTACAGATCTCATTGTAATGTTCTGAAGAACCAGAAGGGCAGATGAGGGAACACACCCTGGATGAATTCAAGAGAAGCCCGGTCTCTGAGGACAGGAGGCAAGCAGGACACATATGTGGCCCAGCGATGAGGGAGAAAGAGCCGGTTGCATTCAGCAGGGGGTGGACCAGCCCCATCTGTGGCAGCTGAGTCTCACAGGGAGGGACCAGGTGGTCTCGAGACACCATACGCCTTCGTCAGGGACAGCATGGGGACCAAATGTTTGCCAGGGCAGCAGGAAGAGCTGAAACTGAGTTCTCTGATGCTCTCTTGACGGCCACGTGGCCTGTGCAGTGCGTGCCCCAGGCACAGTCCCCTGCCACAGGGATCATACCTTTCCCCTTGGCTATTTCCCTGGCTTACACAGCAGGCCCTGGCACCAAGCTGATAACAGGATCTGCAAGTGCTCAAAAAACACTGTCCATTTGATGCATCTTAGCACCAGGCTTGTGTTTTAGTAGATGAAACACAGATATGATACAAAAATCCAAGAGGTTCCATTTTTCTATCCCAACACCTTCCAGGCAAGCTTTGGCTTAAATGTGACTGGGGGCAACGAAGGAGAAATTCGGAATGCAAAGGTTCTAGCAGCCCAGCTGCCCAGGGGCATGGTGTCAGGGCACAGCTGCCACAAGATGGAAGTTGCAGGGATATTAAGAGGAAAGGTATCTGGGTGAAAACACTGCCTGGGTATTTAGGCCAGGAGGAGGCACACGCCACTGAGCTGTTGGCTGGCAGAGGAATGTTGCCAAGGTGACAGCCGTCCCCCTGGAACCATCCAAGGAATGATGAGTAGCCCAGGGCAGCGGCATCTAGCCTGCCAGCCGAGCTGGCCGCCAGGGGTTCCTCACACCTGTTTTGGACACAGGCAGCCTTCGAGCCAGGCAGGGGTGAGAGGAACAGACACACATAGCCCAGTCTACCAATGGCCCACGGTGGTGTCGAGTGGTCTGTCCAGAGGTAACAAGCTTACCCCAAAGGAACTCGACTGTGAGCTGGGTGGGACTGTCCCCACCACGTCTGACTCAGGGAATATATCAGCTGACCAGGGGTAGGGACCTGGGACAGTAGGCACCTGGAAAGGGTTTGAACCGTTGCACCATGAATAACATGGGCCACCCCCAGTCCCAGGCTGGGAGCATCAGGGCACAGATTTAAACAGCCGGTTATGAGGCTGGCTAGCCAGTGCCCTATAGAGTCACCAAGCAAAGACTCGCAAACAGATGCATACCACACAGGTTCATCTGTTCGCCAAGGCTCCTCCTGAGTGGCGAGGCCCTGGCAGGCGGGGGTGCATTGGCAGGTTGGGCCCTTATCTGATTTCAGTCACTCTGTTACTGTATTCTGTTACCCATCCTCATGCCCAGAGGCTGTTGCAATGGGCACAAATTTAGAAAGAGATAAATCACATGGAAAAGTTCATTTTCACAAAGTTAAACTCTCTCTCTCTAATCTCTAGCTTTTTCTTTGGTTCAAAGATAAAATGATCTCAGTTGTTTATTTAGCCTCACCACAGCAGAATCTGCCATTCTGGGCAGTGACTCAATCATACAGCGTGACTGATGCCTGAGACTAACCAGCAGCTCCTGACGTCAGGCGACTGCCAAGCTTCTGTCCTGTGTCTCTTGGGAGCCGAACGAATGGGCAGGCAACACTGGGCACAGAGGCTGCAATCGACTACAGTTCCTTCTGAACAAGTTCAAGATTCTGGTTTGTAATTCCAGCTCCTAAGTCAGTGTTCATCTGATAGACCCACCGCTGCCTGAAGCTACCAAGTTGCTTGGAGTCACTCACGCCTGATAGCCCAGACAGCCCCTGGCTTCAAAGGACGTTCACATCACAGGTGGGAGGATCTCATCTGGATGGAAATTACCCCAAAAGAGAAGGGGTTTGGAAAATGTCTGCTTGGCTCACACACAAACCCATGGTTGGTTGCATCATAGACCACTTGCAGTAAGAGATGGATGGATTATCAACTCCACTACCAGTCATCCAGCTCAATTCCCATCTGCCAGAGTGTAATGACTTGCCCAAAGTTGTATGTTTTCCAGGAACAGGAGGGGTACAGGACCTGGCAGTGCAGCTCTTCCCTGAGGTTAACCCGCCATCACCCCGCACCCAACCAGGCAGATGGTGGTGGCTGTACCTCCGACAGCATCTCATACTGGCCTCTTCTTCCAAGAGCGATGGTCAGCAAGTCGTAGACCACGGATGCGCTCTGCAGGCTGATGAGGCGGTCGCTCTTGTGTTCGGGGATCCTGCTCAGCACAGCATCCCGGTTGGCCTGGACACAATGGGGAAGAGAGAAGCAGGTGGTGAGCCAGTCCAGGCCTGCAGCCACCACTGTATGGCAAAATAGTCACCTGGGCCCTCCTGCCCCTACCAGTCTGTTGAGGGTTGCAGACTAGGGCAGGAGCAACTACTGGGCCTGGCATCTCGGGTCTCTTATCTAAAGTCCTGTGAGCATGCCAGCACAGAGCCTTTGTGGTTTGAACCACATGTGGACATCCTGGAGGTGTGATCTGTTGGCAGGTATTTGGTAGAAGCTTTGGAAGCTGAGAAAGAAGGGCAAGCTTCCCTGGGTTGGGCTTCACAGCAATGACTCCAAGGAGCCCTGCTGCATCCCCTTGTGGGGAGTGGGGAAACCCCCTACCCTGTACCTCCCATCGCCTAGGCCCTGTGGCCCTGACATCCCTTCCCGGCAGCCAGGCCCCTCATGGTCACAGAGATGGAGCACTCTCCTACTCCTCTCTCCCCCCTCTATTCTCACATTCCCATGTGACAGTGTCAGTGGGACAGAGAGCAGAGGCTGACTCCAGCTGGTTCAGGGAAGCGCAAAACAGATGTGGAAGAGACTAGCAGAAGCAAGCAGGTGACCTCTCAGGATTACTGTGGCGGGCTCCCAAGAGCACCCTTCTGACCCCATAGCTCTGCTGCCCAGCACAGAAGGACATGAGGCTTACCCCAACTGAGGAATCCCATCAGTCCAGAGATCAATACTCTTGACAGCAGCTTGCTCTCACTCTTTCTGAAATTCAAGGCCTTGACAGATTCCCTGGAGCAGCATATGCAGTAGAGACACTGCTGCTAGCTCACTGTTCTTTTTTTCCCCTCACAGAATTCAGCATCCATTTCTGATTTTACCTGCTTCGTCCTCCCTGCTGGGTGGCACAAAACCCCAGATGCATCTGTCCCTAGAAGCAGGGCAAGGACTCTGCCATCTTTCCTGTGAATGTGGCCCTGTGAGGTCCCCAGGTCACTTGTCCATCTTCCCCATCTGCCATCAGGAAGGTCACCTAAACACCCACCTTCCCTCTCGCTTTCGTTGTGTGCATGTATGAGTCCCCAGGCATATGCTTTTAGCTGCCCGTCCTTTCTTCCCAAAGTCATCCCTCTTAAATGTCAAAAACAAATGATAACATATAAGACAGGCAACTTCCTACAAAGTGAGTCATCTCTTAGAGCGACAAGGCTGCTTTTGGAGATTTTATTCTAAGTTTCTCTTGTTGAATGTCTTCGGAGCCCAACAAAAGACTCTGAAGGAAACACAGCCTGCCACAAATGGCCTCATTTTAGTTATTTGCTATAAATGTTCCACACTGAGACCAATGCCTGCAAGAGAACATGACAACAAACACCCAAAATACTATTCAGGAGAGTTTCAAGTTACAGGAAACTTTTCCCTTTTCTATATTATTAGAGAAAGTATGAGTTATCTTATGGCTAAAAACAAAACAATAATACAGCCCCTAAACCAGATCCTCAAGCAACAAATATCCTAAAATATTGTTTGGGTGGTGGTTGTGCAAGTATAATCCTGGCAATCGCTCTCCAGTGGAAAACCACTTTGCTGTGTGGTGAGGCAGCATTTCACACAACTCCAAATGCTCTCTTACAGGGAAACTGGGCAAACGAAGGCTTCTAGGGTAATGCCAGAGCAAATGAAGAATGCCATTTTCACAGACATCCCAAAACACAACTCTCAATTCAGTTCTGAAACCAAGCAAGTCATTTTCTATCTTAAAAAAAAAAATCAAGGAGGGCCTGGCAATGATAGCCCAGCAGCTAACGTCTTCACTTTGCATGCATGTGCCAGGATCCCATATGGGAGCCAGTTCATATCCCAGCAATCCCACTTCCCATCCAGCTCCTTGTTTGTGGCCTGGGAAAGCAGTCGAGGATGGCCCATCGTGTACCCATGTGGGAGACCCGGAAAGAAGCTCCTGACTCCTGGTTTTGGATTGGCTCAGCACCAGCCATTGCAACCACTTGGGGAATGAATCAGTGGATGGAAGATCTTCCTCTCTGTCTCTCTTCTTCTCTGTATGTCTGGATTTCCAATAAAAATAAATCTTTAAAAATAACCAAGCAGCCAGAGAAAAAGGGCTATTTAAAGATCAGCAAATTTTGATTTCTGACTATGATTATGAAATGACATGTACAACCAATGAGAACACAACCAGTTTGGCTGGAAACGAGTTCCTTGCATTTATGGATAATACCATTGGGTTTTGTCATCCCTCAAGAGATCTTTCTGAAATGAAATACCAAGAAGTCAAATTAGAATGTCTTAAAGTAATCTCACACCCTTTGAGATTATTAGCATCCACCATTTCAGCTAAGGAGAGAGGAAATTATATCATTCCAAAGACATGCCTACTGTACTGGAAGTGTTTTAGAGATGGGGCCTCATTTTCCAAGTTCTAGATGGGCACACATGATCTGACAACAGAACACAAAGCTTCCACTTAGAGTTGTCCAGGTTTGTCTAATTATCAGAATTTTGTTCTTTTACCACTAAGTCTGTTCATTGGAAACAACCCACCAAGTTATGCAGTCTGGCTTGGGACCAGGACGGTCTGCTTGGAGGCCCACCTGAGCTGCCCCCTTCCACAAATTGGTGGCAACATGGGACAAACTTGCTTACTTGAACAAGTGACCAATGGCCACCGAGGGCCAGCCTGATCACCTGGGGGGTCTTCCCTGGGTACCTATACCCAGGTAGAGCAGGGAACATAAAAAATACCATCCACGGTGAGCAACTGACAGGGAAAGATGAGACCCAGGAGGAATCTGTCTCCTGGAGAGGAAGTGAGGCCAATGACGTCAAAGAGCTTCCAAATAAAAAGCAGCAGTAACCCAAGCAGCCCGGCTCCCATAAACATCTCCAGGCCATGCTGCACAGCAAGAAAACCCAAGGTTTCTAGCGGAGGAGAGAGCTGTCCTCCCAGGTGGGGCCCTCCTCCTTCTTGCGCCCTCTGCTCTCAGCACATTCATTCTTGGGCCCCATTTTGACGTCCTTTTCACATCTCCAACAGGCCAGTATGTGTGGGGAGAAGAAGGGACACATTTTGTCTTGCTTTAGCTACAGTTCCTTTCCTCCCTGCCTGGCTGGTGGGGTCAGAGTGATGGGTTCAGTGCTTGGCCTCAGGGTCCTGCTCCGACAAGGACCCTGTGGCTGCCCTTCTCACGTGCTCCATGTACACAGGCCTTCTGTAAAAAAAACCTTTTTTTCCCCTTAAAGCTGAGATGTTATGAAAGAACAGTTCTTGCTGCGAAAGGTTTTAACACTGTTACACAGATGCCACTTGTGAAGGTTTTGAGCCAGAGCTATGAGGCCTAGAGCCAAACAGAGCAGAAGCCCAGTTAATAATGAGTGATGCAGTTCTAGAAATGAATTTTGATATCCTGGCCAAACATTTAAGAAAAGCTTCCCAGGAGTCTGATAGTGTGGAAAAAACTCTCACCACCCAGCCAATGTCACCATTTTCCCAAAGAAACACGTGAGAAAAGATTCTAAAACAACTAATCCCCAGTGGCAGGATTACATGGCAGTCAGTCAAGAGTTAGGGGTAGGGTTAGGGTTTGGGGTTAGGATTGGGGTTTGGGTTAGAGTTAGGATTAGCAGGTTAGGGTTGGGGTTAGACTATGGCTTAGGGTTGGGATTAGGGTTTAAGATTTAGGGATGGAGTTAGGGCTACACTTGGAGTTGGGGTTGAGGTTAGGGTTAAGTTTGGGGTTATTGTTAAGGTTTAGGGATAGGGTTGGTTAGGGTTTAGGGTTAGAACTATTTTGTGTCAATGCTTCCAACCTTCCCACCTTATGTTTTCTTAAAATCCTGGTGTTTCTTTTGTTCTAATATTTTGTCACCCTGTGTGGTTTTCCTATTCCACAAATGGTCTATTTCCTGGATCACAGGGGATACGACTCCAGAAGTATTCTACCAAATATGTGGTTTCATAAAGCTCAGTGAACTCATTTAGAAAAGCCATACGTGGGAATGCACACATAGCAGGGCTCCATGCTTTCTCAAGTCTGTCAGATTAGAACGTGTGACACACAGCAAGGCAACTCCCTCACAGCCAGAGCCAGGTGCTGGGGCAGGGTTGGGGGAGGAGGAGCTCTTCCAAACAGGCACCGTGCCAAGCCTGGGAACAGGTGGCAGCTTGAAAAGATGGCCAACGTGAGGGGCCGCGGCAGGCTCATGGACTTCTGCCATGGACACTGCGGGCTCATGCAGCCCACAGGCACAGATCCCCCTCGTTTCCTTCCCACTGAGGCAAACTGAGAATGTTTGTGGAGGTTCCTCTCTGGGTCTGCCTCCTCTTTTGGTGGTCTTTTAACTATAGATTACCAACATGTGATTGGGTTAGTGTTCAACACACTACTTGGTAGAAGAATGGACTAAGATGCCTGAGTCAGCAAGGGCCGAGGCGCTACGAGTTCCCAGATGACCAAGAACTATCAGACTTCTCTCTCCCTTTGTGTCTCTGTGTAGTTTTCCTCCTCAGGGAAGACAGCAAGGAATGAGGGAAGAGCGATGAGAAAGCACAGGCCACTCACCATGGACTCACTGATCAGCAGTAACAGCAGGGCTTCTTCAGTGTTTTCTTGAGGACAAAATATGCTACAAAAGAGAAAACCCACTTTCAAATGTGGTAGCTTCAAAATGATACAAAATACGCAACCGCAACCATGAGTAAAACTCAATGCTAAAAAGTATCTAGATTGTTTTTTATCCCAAATCCCTAAAAAATATTGTATAATTTGGACATTTGAATTGATTTGCTTATTTCCATGCTGAAGAGCGGCCGTAGATATCAGGGTAAACAGAGGCACAGACGCAGGCTACTGCCAACGGACACTGTCTAAACAGCACAAGCCTTTTCCTGACCCCGCCATGTGGGTATGAATGCTGAGCGTTGCCCTCAGCTGTCCTCATCTGGCTGCTCACCTGCTGACTGGCATCGTCGTTTAGATCAGTCATGAGCTGGGTGGCAAGGCTGCAGTTGGAGTAACTTCTCTAATGCTGTAAGAACTCAGTGTACACATGCTCGACCAGGGGTAGTGTGCTAATGTGCTGCCACCTTCATCTATTTTATGTAATTTGGCTGGACTCTGAAATCTTCGATTAAGAGAAAAAGCTTTTAAGCTAAATGTTATTCAGGATTAGAGAACAATAAAAAAAAAAATCCAAACATAGCTCCCAATCTGTACTCTCTATATCCTTGTATTTGTTGATTTATTCAGGTGCTGTGAGCACTTAAAAAATTATTTTTATTTGAAGCACAGGGCTACAGAGGGAGAGAAGAAGAGGGGTGAGAATGGATTCTGTACCTGCTGGTTTATTCCCCAATGATTGTAATCAGAGCTGAGCTGATTTGAAGCCAGGAGCTTCTTCTGGGTCTCCCATGTGAGTGTAGAGGCCCAAAGGACTGGAGCCATATACAAGGAGCTGGTTTGGGTAGTAGAGTAGCTGGGACTCAAACCTTGCCCATATGGGATGCCAGCGCTGCAGGCAGAGGATTAGCTTGTGATGTCGCTGTGTCAGCCCCGTTAGCACTTTTAAAGATGTGCAGCATTTTTCATCCTCTCTGTCTGTCTGTCTCTCTCTCTCTCTCTTTTTTCCCCCCTGATCTAAAGCACTAGAATCTTTGGTGTAGATTTGTGAATGCTACCAAACTCATTACATTTTTATGGAATGGAAGAGTCTGCACTAAATAAAAATGGATTTAGTTTTAAAAGTTCATGGATACTTTGGCAATGACAAAATGTCCATCACTCACAAGAGCATTTATGATCTTGTTTTGGCATCTATAATGCCAAAAACAAAACAACAAAAGCCACCGTTTTCCAGATAATTATAAGTACTTGTTTTCTTGAAGTGCTGGAAAGTTCAGTCCTATGTCAAAAATGATCAGAACAAGACAGTCCAAGTACTGGCCAGGACCTGGCCTGCCCGGCATCACTGGAGGTGAGAAAGGCTCTCTGAGATGGTTAGGGCTGCTTGTCCTGGACTGTGGGTCTACGGCAGGGCTGGCCCGGGAACTGGGAGCAGAGCAGCCTGGGTTTGTGGTGACCGCCTTCAACTGCTAGCTTTGGGGTGGGGGTGGGGGGATCTGAGATTTCCAGAAGATTGAATATTCTAGTCCTTAAATTCAAAAGCAGACACTGAGCTCTCCGACAGTATCTCCCACCTGCTCCCATGCAATTAGACCTGGCACATAAAGCTGTAACTTTCACTACTCTTTCACGGCCAGCCAGTTCTGCATTGTCCAGGCTAATTGGCAAGACAGAGAGCCACACTAATTGTGACTTAACACCAGCCAATTCGGCCCTTGGACAGTCTCCAAATTCCATCTGAGCCATCAGCCTGCTTCTATGCTGGTGTGTGTTATTTTTACCAGCCTTGCTAACAAGTGGCACATTAGCTGGCTCTAACTCACTTCCTCTTCTCCTCCCTACCATGGGAGGCAAGATGGGCACTGAGGAGCACTGCGGAGCTCCCAGGGCTGGCAGACAGAGGTGGCAGTGGCGTGGGGAGAGGGGCTGGATCTAGGTGACATGCTGAGAGCCATCCTGGCATGCCTCTTCTCTAGACTCACCCCTGGCCATTTCTCCTCTCTTCCTTGCTCAGGGCAGCGTGGAGCCCAGTGGAAGGTGGCCGATGTTGTTGCAGCTTCCTCTCTGTTCTTTCTGACACTGCACTTGCTCGCTGGGGCCCAAGACCCAGAGGAAGTTGTATGAAGGGCAAGGTGGGTGACAAAAGAGGGGAAGGGAGAAAACAGGGTAGCAGGCAGGGAGGCTGAGCCCTCCAAAGCTGGCAGCTGGTGACGGAAGTGGTGGCCGGGGCTGCTGCTGAGCTAAGGCTGCGAGGGTTGGGTTCTCATCTCAGCCATACATGAACTAGGGGCTGTTCAATTTCTGACTTTAGATGGATCTGCCAACTCATGGATCAGAGACAAAGGGGAAAACCCTCATGTGTAAGTAGCAACCACGTCTGGCCAGGGCTTCCTGAGAATGTCGCTTTCTTAATTTTTTCTCCAGATAGGTCAAAAAGAAACTTTATGCGACAGAGACAATCATGCCAGGTCTTTATGAGCCAGATCTAATCCTGTCAATGAAACCCCTTCTCTGTAGCTAGTCCAGCTGGTGATGACGTAGCTGTCTAAAGGTACGAGTGCCATCTAGAGGTCAAAGGGCTGTGCTCCGGTATGGAGAGGGCCTGGGGTCTGTCTGGCTCACAAAAGGTGGTTTGTCAATCACAACATCAACTCCATGGTCTAGTGATGGTGTCTTTTGTAGTCTGACTGTGCCTGGCTGGCCTCCACTGGGGAAATTTCTGGAGAAAAGCAATCTCTGGCCCCCAGCCAGAGAACTGCAGAGTCAAAACCAAGACACACACACACACACCCAAGCTAGGTACCTGTCATCCTGCCAAGGCAGATCCACTGCCCGTGCAGGCGCAGGCAGAAGGGGAAAGAATCCTGCAAAAGAACATCACAGCAGCACAGTTCCTAGAGATCCTCAAACTACAAACAACCCAAATATCACATGTGACTAGCAGAGGGAGTGAGAACCGAGTTCCTTAATGTCTAAAGTGTCTTGGTGTTAGGAAGGATCTACAAAAGGGGAAAACAAATTTATTGTCTATTTTGAAAAAATAAATCTCACTGAGAAAGTGAATTCTGAGCCTGCTGCTACACAGCTCATAACGAGAAGTCAGCTTTCTAAAGTGAGAGTTCGGGCACTGCCGGAGCAGATGCGTTGGGAATTTGGAGAAGGACCGAGGAGTAAACATAGACCAGGCGATTGTACTCGGGTTCAACAGGGCCGTGGAAAAGGGGTGGGAAAACCAAGTCAGAGCAAAGCCAGGGGAAAGGCCAAGAATTCACTTCCTTTTCTGAACCAGAAGGTGTTGGGGATGTGGATGTCGGGGTCACTCAACAGGAAAAAGAGGCAGAGGCTTTAAGAAGTGCTGTCCCCTTGGAAAATGCTGCCCATCATTTTCAGATGTCAGTGTGACATGACCTGACGCCCCAGTGCCTTCTCCCGGGCCTTACGAGCTGCAGCCTGTGGTCTTGCTGCCATTATTGCAATTGGTAACGCACCAAGGAGTTGCCAAGTTTACTGGTGTTTATCCAGGAACACTCCCCTTTCCTTAATGTGGAATCTGAAGGTGCCGCCATGCACAGTGCTTGCAGGCACAGGCTCAAGGGGCAACGCAAGGCTCCGACGGCAGGAATCAGGAGCAAGCCAAACACTGCTCCTGTCCCTAGCCCTTCTCAGGGTCTCTTTTCTTCCCATGACCTCCTTCCCTTGCAGTCCACCTCGATCTGGGGGGAGGGTTGGAACTGCACAATGCCTTCAATCTAAAAACCTAAAAGAATGAAGTTCTAACGAGATGTAATTTTCTGGAGCCGGGCAATGATTCGACTGGCTAATCCTCCACCTGGGAGTACTGGCATCCCATATAGGCACTGTTCCGTGTTCTGGCTACTCTACTTCCCATGGAGCTCCCTGTTTGTGGCCTGGCAAATCAGTGAAAGACGGTGCAAAGCTGTGGGACCCTGGACTCATGTGGGAGATCCAGAGGAGGCTCCTGGCTCCTGGTTTTGGATTAGCTTAGCTCAGGCCATTGTGGCCCATTTCTCCCTCTCTCTGTAAGTCTGCCTTTCCAATGAAAATAAACAAATCTTAAAAAAAAAAAAGGAGACGTCATTTTCCAATCCATTGTAAATGATTTCATTCTCCTCCTTAGATCTAGTTCATTTTGGATTTTTTAAAAAAAGAGGCACTTTTGCTACAGAAGAGAACAGAGGAGCGCTGACTTACAAATAGTGTGGTTGTGAGTGCTGCAAGGCGCTGGGGATCTTGGGGGTCGTGGGGATTTAACTCCCCGAAGCCCACAGCCGTAGCTGCGGAAGACCATGCTGCTGCTTTGAGCATCCTGGGGGCACTTGCCGCTGGGAGAAGCAGCCAGATGTCTGTGCTGCAAGTTGGACTCACCCTCGCCCGTCCACACACCCAATCCCCCCCCCAGGACCCCTCGAGTCAGGACTTGGGCTTCCATACTTCTCTCCTGAGTAGACCCGGGCTCTCCGAGTGAGGGTGTAGGTATTTGTGTTCGCTCCTTTCCGGAGAGGGTCATCCAGAGGCGACTGGCAGGGAGGGCTCTCCAGAGGGTTCCAGTAGCTCTGCTCACACATGCCCCGCAGCAGGATCTCCGCCAGTTGCCTGGCTATCGTCTGCAACACAGAGCAGGAAACACACAGCCGTGAAGCTCTTTCATGTCACTCACACGTTCATTCAAGAACCAGGTCCCACTCCAAGACTCACACTTTAAAAATGTAATTTCTTTTATTTATTTGGAAGGCAGAGTTACAGAGAGAGAGAGAGAGAGGAGGAAAGAGAGTGAGAGGTCTTCTGTCTGCTGGTTTTCTCCACATACGGTTGCAATGGCAGGAGCTGGGCCAGTTCAAAGCCAGGAGGTTCTTCCAAGTCTCCCATGTGGGTGCAGGGCTCCAAGGACTTGGCCATCTTGCACTGCTTTCCCGGCAGCATTAGCAGGAAGCTGGATTGACAGTGGAGCAGCTAGGAATTAAACAAGTGCCCACATGGGATGCCTGTGCTGCAAGTCACCTGCTATATCACAGCACCAGCTCTAAAAGTTTACTTTTGTGATGACAATTATACCAGTTTACAACAACAACAACAAAAAAGATGCATTAAGATACCTGAACTTTTATCTATTTATTTTAAACAAAAGTTCAGGCACTTTCCAATCCACTGTGTCTCTGTCATACCCTGGAACATGTTTCCCATATGAAACAACAACTTCAGGCTAAACACCATTCCAAGAGTTCCTGGAAACAACAGGTGCAGTGCGCATGTTTTTATGACCTCCCAGCTGATGCCCGTGCAGCTCAATGCCAGCGAAAAGCCAGCACTCAGCTCAGCTGGGGCTGCACCTGAGCAGTCTGCTCCCTGAAGATACAGCAGCCACTGTGGGTTTCTGCAGTCTTCCTTCGCAGAAGCCTCAAGGGTCAGCTTCAACGAGCCCCACCTGGGGACTCAGCACCCGCGTGTCCGGCTCTCAGTGTGCCTTGCCTGGGCCAGACCGCTTCACGTCTTTGTGCAAGAGAGAAGGGAGAGTGGGAACCATAGCTCCTAACGGAGAGAGACCTCACTGCCGAGCTGGAACCCCACTTCCTTGCAGGGAGTCTGTGGCTCTTCTCCTCCAAGGTCACACCCACCGGCAGGCCTGCACGAGGACTCTGCTGCCCTCCTTCCCACAGCAACACGTGCAAGATGCACAGGGTGACAAGACCTGGCCCGTGCTGAGAAAGACTGCATGGACCAGCTCTCACATCAGCTCATTTAGCTCATGATCTTTGAGTAAGAAGTTACTCTGGCCACAGAAGCACCCCAGCCCATCCCAGGGCAGTCCAGGCCACCCACGAAAGGCCAGAGGTGGCAGCAACAAAACTGCCACCAGCAGTTTCCACTCGGCTTTCCCATGCTCTGGAATGTGTAGACAAAGAAGGCTCATCTTCCTGGAGAATGAAGCTTTTTTTTTTTTTTTAATAAATATATGTTCCAGAAGAGAACATTGCTAGGCTCTCCTCCGTATGAAATCTCTTACGGCACCACAAGGAAAATTAACTTCAAGCAAATCACTAGCTTGGTAGCTTCTGATAAGCACTGGGTAAAGGCAAATCTTCTTGATTATTCCCAGGCAAGATCCGCTGGCTTGCAGCGTCTCTAACGGCACCCTGATCATCCCCAGCCGAGCCATCTATAAAGATCTCCTAAGAACACAGTTAGCAAGACCTAAACAATTCCTGAGCTGTTTCCTTAAACCTTCCATTATGGTTTCATTTTGATCTCACGGCAGTCATAGACACTAATGACTTCTGCTGGAAACTTCGACTGGCAAAAATAACTCCCACTCACTGTGGCTGAGAAATCAATCTTAAAAGCAAACAAAATTATGAGCAGGGAGCTTCATTTTCTGGCTCTATCTGGTGTGGAGGGATTAGGAATCTGTAGAAACTTGCTGTTGTTATTTGCTTGCCCGCTCCTAAGTGGCTTGGGGGTGTTAGCTTTCCAGAGAGATGGGGTTTTGATGTGGTGTGGTGGCACAGAGGGCATAGCTTTACGGCTACACTTCCAAGTGGGACGGATGTAGGGCTGTGTCTGCTGCACGATCAAAGGAGACCCGGAAGAGCAGACAAATGCCAAAAACCACCAAGGAGATCCCCAGCTTCCCCAGGAGCTGTGGCCTTTACTGCTGTCCTCAAGCTCTGTTTAGCTTGTAGTTTAATTGCTTAAAAATTGCTAGCAACTATCAAGCCTAGAATGAAAGGAAGGAAGTGGGTTTGAGTAAATCCTGGATGTTTATGGACAAAGTTGTCATCAAATGGACTTGCATGTATATGTGTGTGATGCTTAAAAAAAAAACAAAACTTATGGTAAAATTCACCACCAAAACCCTTTTAAAGGTCACAAGTCTTTAGTCTGCTACTGCAGCCATGGACACTAAATAGTTCCAGAACATTTGCATGACCACAAAAAGACCCCACACCCTTTAAGCATTCATCCCCCAGTCCTGTTTCTCCTAGGCCCTGGGAACAACTTGTAGACTGCGGCCTCCGTGGGTCTCCCCACCTTGGAGTGTCACAGTAATGCAGTTACACAAGTTGTCATTGTAAGAGCAAGGATCTTGGCAACAACACGCAACACACTGCTGCCCATTCTTTTGCCTTGCACAAAGAACCCTCAGGGAGCAGCCTTTCGGCCACCAGGGCACATGGGTTTGATTCCTCGCTCCAGCTCCTGAGTCCAGCTTCTTGCGAATGCACACCTGAGGAGGAAGTGAGTGTGGCTCAGGTCTTCGGGTTTCTGTCCATCATGTGGGAGTTCAGGGCTGTTTTGGCTCCCAGCCTCAGCCCTGGTCCTGCCCTGGTCATGGTAAGCATTTGAAGAACAAACCAGTGGACGGAAATTCTCTCTCTCTTATTCTTACATACATAAATAATTGAAATACAAATGCTTTACTTAAACTTCTTAAGGTAAGCTTAAATGATATTATTATATAATATGTGCTTTTGCAGCTTCCACTTAGAGCCAAGGCTGTTGGACATTTATTACCAGCAGCTGCAGAGATGCCACGTGGTATGACTGACGTAGCAAACCCCACGTAGAAGGCCATCACTTCTCTCTCTTATCCTCCATGCCGCTTGCCTCCTTTTAGCCAGAATCCTGTAAGTGCGTGGGAAAACACTTGGCCAAGGAGGAGAGATTCTTGTCACGAGCAACGAAGCCATAGCTCTGTGTTGGTGTCTCCAAAGTTTCAGCATGTACATGTACAACTTGGGGGGCCAGATGGCTAAGATGGCTGAGTTGTAGGCTTTCCTAGAATTAGAATGTGAGACAAGAGCACCACCCCAGCATCAGGAGAGTCTGCTGCACCTGCCTTACAGGATGCAGGTTTGTGTTCCACGTGAACACTGTCAACAAGCACAGAACAAGATGCTTGCATTACTGGCCCTGGGCAATGTGAAGGAGCTGGTACTGCACACCCACTCGGGTGCCTGCAATTCAGGAGGCAATGACTAGCTTTGGGGAGGGGTGCTGAGAAAGTGGAACCCTCAGCGTGCCTGCTGGCCTTGGGAAACCGCCTGAAAGCTCCCCAGAAAGATAATTATAGTGGTACCCCAAGACCCAGGGATTCCACCTAGCTACAGACCCAAGAAGACAAGACACATATGTTGAAGGAAAAAGTTGTACATGAAGTTTCAGAGCCTAACACTCAGAACAACCAAGTGGAAACAACCCAAATGTTTCATTAGCATAAATAAGTGTGCTATATTTACACAAAGGAAAAAATACTAGTTGATTGCCATAACATGAGAAAAGTGTTTTATTAAGTGAAGGAAGCTAGTCATGAAAGAGCACATAGCATATGATTCCATTTATATGAAATGTTCAAAACAGGCAAATCCATTAAGACAGAAAATGTAGTGGTTTCCAGGGCTGGGGAAAGGAAAGCTTGGAAGCTAATTGATGAGCAGATTGTTTTAAAACAGGTGATTATAAAAAGTTCTGAGGCTAAATATTAGCAACAGCTGAACAATTTTCTGTGCATATGCCAGATATCTATTTATCTATATTAAATATGAAAGCAGGCACAGGAGGCAGGTGCGCTACGGGCCCCAGCAGGGTCAGGGGTCACACTCACCATGCGCAGGTTCTGCGTGGTCCTCGTTTCCACCGCTCTGAGGAGCTCTCGGAACCTCCCAACTCCTCTTGTCAAGTTCCTGTGAGCACACAGAATTTCATAGGGTTTCCATGTGCAGGCGTGAACATGAGACCCTCTAGGGGCATGCTTCAGTGCCTTTTGTCTGCAGGAAAGCTGTTGGCCAGGGATACGGCAAACCACAGCTCTGCCCATGCCCACCCGTCTGGTCAACTCCCAAAACTGTAAGCTAAGAGCCGTGGGGGTTGGGTGACTCCTCATCCCCGATTGGATTTTCCCATGGAAGTCTGAAATTCAGTCCTGAGGTCAAAAAGAAACAGACAGGAGGAGACAGGACACAGGTGCTCTCTGCGTCTTCAAGTCTCCAGTGGTGCTGCAGCTTGGCACCGCCAAGCTGTACCTCCATCCCCAAGGGGAGCAGGGACACTGGAATAGGGGTGCAGGCCCTCTCAGCCATGCAGACAGAGGTACCTTGCTGCCATCTTTAGGATAGGTCATAGACTAGCTGGGGGAAAATGGGGGGGCTCCACCAAGCAACCATTCTGCATCTTTTCTATGTGAGTCACTGGTCAGAAGCCCCACTAAGCCAGCTCCCTCCCAGGCACTGACACAAAAAATCAAAGGCTCAAAGGCCCCGAGAGCACAGGTGTGGCACCTGGGACCCAGGGCTTCCCCAGCATGACCATATCTCATGTGAGCCAATGAGCGGCTCTTTAATGGCATCTTGCTCAGTATCTCCAGGCTTGGGACAGGCCTTTGTCACTTGGTATTCCTGCCTCCCGTATCAGAGTGCCTGAGTTCAAGTCCTGGCTCTGCTTCTGATCCAGCTTCCTGCTGCTGCAGGTCCTGGGAGGCAGCAGGTGATGGGAGCTCCCGACTTCAGTCTGGTCCTTCCCTGGCTGCTGCAGACAGCTGGGGAGTGAACCAGCAGGACGAGGTCTCTTTCTGTCTTGGTCTCCCTTGTTCTATCTCTCTTTCAAATAAATAAGCAATATTTTATACTATGTAAATTATATATATATAATTATTATTATAAATCCAGACCCCACATAGTGGCCTCTCTCAAAGTGGTGCCTGGTCTGGTCAGCTGGGAACTCCCTCCCAGTTGGTCCCTTTGCGGCTGCCACCTATGACATAACTCAGGGATATTTATAACCCGCACATTAGGATGCATCTCATCTTCCCAGAAGCCATGAAGCAGATGAGCCGGGGCAGGCCTGCCAGCTGGGCTCCGCAGGCTGTGGCCAGTGCTCCAGGTCTTAAGCTCTCTTCTCGGATGACATTTTCAATCACAAAAATGTATTAAATCAAAATGTGGGTTCTGTAAGTTACAGGCACTCGTGAGGGCTGTTAATCTGTCTTACACCTGCCTGACATCCTGCATCCGCAAGAGCGGCCTGGGCGCTGTGGGGGAGCGGCTTACTGGCACATCAGCGCTCTCACATTCCTCTCACCCACACGGAGCAGCAGAAGCTTTATGGTGGCATAAAAAGGGATGCTTGGGCTCAGGATGCCAAGCAGCACTAAAGGAAATCTAACACAGACCGAATATAAATTAGAGAACAGAGCTGGGACATGCAATGCACTCTGTGCTCTCCTTCACTTGTTTTATGAGCTCCGTGTTCACAGGCCGCAAAGCACATTTGCTTTGGACGGAAGCTCAGTTCTCTTAAGCAACATGGAGGGAGGGCAAACAGCTCCAGCTAAAAAAGGGATGATGGGTATGGATAGGGCAGCCTAATTTTACTCCGGGATCATGGATGAAGATCCTCTGATGTGCAAACAGAATGGCATTTGGGACTGTGTGAGCAAAGGGTGTGACGGAGGCAGCATGCCCTGGAGAGCATGGCAGGAGCGGCTACTTGACCATGGTGGAAAGCAGACCTTGCTTGCATACCAGGGCCAGATCCAAATATGGTAACTCGGCGAAGACCCCCTCCCACAGGAACTGGTGGTTTAGACTGTCCCTGGGTCCTGCCGCACATGCACTGCTTACATGCTTACAGGAGCACAGAACTTTCTGGGTGACAGTGGAGTGAAGGGGTTTGTTCGGGCTCTCAAGCCCGATGCTGAGCGAGCTTGGGCTCCCTCTCATTTCCTACTGTCTTTCTGGGCATAAGAAACAGAAGCTACAGAATAGAAATGTAACTCCAGGTGAACAAAATATGAACTCAAGGGCACAGGTACGTATTTTGTACCACTAGTACTCAAGTTACTAAACGTGTGTGTGTATGACTATGTATGTACAGGCACTTCAGAAAGCTCATGGAAAATGAGTCTGAAAGATAACATTATTTTGGTGCAAATAATCATTTATGGAATTGTTTTGTAAGATACATTTTCATTAAGTTTTTGAAGGCATTTCATATGCATGGATTTTGAGTTTTTTGGTACCCAAATATCTTAAATTTAATCTCATTTTCCACGAATATATTTAAAATACATTCCGTGTGTGTGATGGTGACAACTAATTGAGACTCTCCAAAGCTCTGGCTCAAAAAATTGCAGAAACAAATCTATGACCCAGGCGAAGAAATCCGGTGCCTGAAGGAAAGGCCTGAGCGAGCCAGAGAGATTGAGGGACCGAGAAACTCAATTCCTCTCAGGGCCAGCGGCCGAGTCTCCCATGCAGGACCGACGCCCTCTGCTGGAGGAACGGAAGAAGTGTCCACGGCTGCCCGTGACATCAGAGGCAAAGCCAGCTATGGGGGTGTGGCTCCCCAATGAAGTCTCAGAAGGCAAAAAAATGAGCTTTCACCAGGAGTTTCAGACTCATGGCTGGAAGGAAGTTAGGATGCAAGGAAGACCCTAACTTCTCAACGGGGAATCCGCAACAGGGAAAGGAAGACCCTGGTCAGTCGGGCCCCAAGCAAAGGGGCAGTAGGTAGGAGGTGGGGGAAGGCACATCTTTCAGAGAAAAGGCACACGCCTGCCTTCTCAGCGGACGGCATGGCCACTCAAGCATTTCTAATCACGCCAACCAGTCAGTCACCCCCGCAGTCAGCATCAGAGCAGGAAACATTTTTCTCCCAGCCAGATGGAAAAGAACATCAACACAAAAGGGGGTGGGGGATTAATTTGCAACAGTCACATTCTAAAGGCTATGAAATAAACCAGTTCAAGGGAGATAAACAAAACCCACATGATGACTTCCTGTTTCTGAAACATTAGTTTATCCTTAAAAGGTTGAGCTCCCTGGACTCCTAATCCCCACCAGAGGCAGGTGGGGAGGTGCCTGGTGTCCGGGGTTGGCTTCAACACTCCTGGGACAACACAGGGATGCCAGAGCTCACGACGGTGGCATGCTGGCTGCTCTTCTGGCAGTGGGCATCTGGGCTGGATGGTAGAGCCAGGGGCCCTGCTACTGCAGTGATTCAGTCTCTCCCCTCAGTGTCTGCAAACCATGGGTCAAGTCAACACCACTGATCTCTTGGAGCAGAGGAACTGCTCGGCTTTCCTGCTTCTTACCAGCCAGCACTTTGGGACTCTTCAGGCAGTAGGTTATTCCAACAACTACGGAGTCACATTAAGAGTCAGGTGCCAGGCTGGTCCCTTAAGACAGGACCAACCCACAATGAGGGCCAGCTGCCTGCCCTCTGGGAGCCCAGGCAGCCTGGCCTCTGCCCCGCTGCCCAGGAATACAGATGCCTCCAGGTCAAATGCTGGGTGGGCTTCTCTGAGGGAACCCTGAACCGAGCCCTTCAAGCATGAAGCTTGCAGAGGTTTGCTGAATGAATGAAAGTCAGACGTGAGCGGAATCAACCAAGATGACAAGGGGATGCATTTTTCCACCTATTCTCTGTCCCTTCTTTCTCACCAAGCATAGGGTGGCAGGCAGCAAAGTACCACACACACACACCCGGCTGGGACTTGTCCCTCCCCCCCTCAGCAGAGTCCTGGTGCAGCAGGGGTCGTAGGGAGTGGTCCTGTGCACTACATGGCAGGCAGAACTGGCTGTGACCAGCCCAGCAGCTTCCAGGGAGCTGCGTGGGCAAGGAAGACCTGGAGGTTCCGGGAAGCACAGAAGCCCCCACCACCCTCAGGCTTCTTCGTTGGCTGCTCCCTCAGCCTGCAGGATCCCAGAAACTCCTCCACGTCCTCCAAGGCCCAGGCACAGGAACATGGTTAGGGAGCTTTCCCAGCCTCCCCAGGGTGAGTCCGTACTGCTTCCTGGGTGCTCCTACCAGTCTGTGCCTATTCTGAGTCTGGCATACGACCCTCCTGCGTGTCTGTGTGCCAACCGAGCCGACATCACCTTCAGGGTAGAGATCCTCAGTGGACCTCCCCTGGTTCCAGCTGCCTCAGAGACACCCCTCCCCCCAAGAAACACGAGTGAATGCAAGCCTACACAAGAGAGTGTCAAGGAGTTTGTGGGAAAGCTGCCTTCTCTACTCGCTCCAGCACCCTGAAGCTCTGGAAGCAAACCTGCACTCCGAAATCCCTCTCCCATCCCTGCTTCCAGGAGTGTTCTTGATCGTAAGAAAAGACAACCAAAGCAGACATTTTTTCCGTCAAAAGATACACCACATTATACTCAGGGCATTCTCCCCGCAACACCAGGAGAAGAGAAACACCCCAATGGCTTATAGGGCCATTGGCTGTTACTGGCTTAGAATTGCTCCATTTATGTAACCCTTAATATCACCGCTTTTGAAAAAGACTGAAATCAGAATCAGATACCAAGATCTGGAAATGGGAGGAAACACACACACACACACCCCTTTCCTGGTCCAAAAGGCACTCTGACCAGCTGTCAGGGAACCGTTCTTCCTGGAGCGTTTTCTGTTTTCTCCCTCTGCGCACACACTTTGCCTCAGATGCAGTAACATGCACTTGTGAAGACAGACGGCTGCTGCTGTCAGGGGCCAGGGATCAAACCCACAACCTTGGCCTTATTGGCCAAGGACTCTGATCCATACAGCAAGCCAGCTGCCATCTAGCCATAGTGGCAAAGGGTGCGATAGCCATCCAGGCCGGGATACGAACAAGTGGGTAGAGCTTCCGGCATTCTCTTTCCAAACCTAATGAGACGTGCACAAGGCTTAGCAGCACTTCTTGGAC